GTAAGATTGGCCTGCGCGTGTAAGTTTGAGAGCCATTTTTTCGACAGGGAAGGCATGCTGTGCAACCAGGACCGCACTGTTTTCATACTAGGGCGTTAAGGAACCTATCGCGTTGAAAACCTGAGTGGTTGTGTTTTGCCGATCCACTGCCTTTGATGTATTTTTTAGATATTTTGACATGCGGGGGGTAATTAAACTGGCAAGGCAAGTGAAGATTTCGGGATGAAAGAATACGAACGTTGCCTTGTACGCGTTGCTTTGAAGAACTGCTGGTCCTTCACATGCTTATACGAGCTGTTTGCGGGCCAGCGATCCGCTAAAGCGGCGTCTAATGACGGCTTTACTTCTTCACCCAATTTAGAGCTCGAAGGTATTTGCGCATGACATCGCATCTCAAATTCTCAGAAGCGATTTCCAGAAGATAGTTCACCATTTCAAATGAATTATGCATAAGACTTGTTATCACTATGCACTGGCATGACTCGCGGCTCATGCCTTAAAAAGGGAACTTTGCTAGCCATTCTGTCATATGATATTTCTTTGTACGATTGACCGATCGGGACCTTGCACTCAGTGTAGTACAGCTGAATTTTTTTTCATCGAATGTTCGAATGAATGTTTTTCAATATTCGTATTGAATATTGAAAATTATAAATATTATTGAAATATTAATATTATATAAATAAAATTAAAATATTATTGAATATTCGAATAACTGTCTTTCAAGATGGCTCAAATATTCGAATATTCGAATAACTGTTTTTTAAAATTCCTCGAATAAACAAATATTCGAATAACCCCTTTTTTCAAATCATTGAATAAACGAATTATTTGAATACAGGCCTTTTTCATTCATTCGATTATTCGATAATTGGACTTTCTCGAATATTTGACTGTTCGAATATTCGACTAGTCGAATATTTCGAATAAATTATTCGAAAATGAATATTCGGTTCTGACTATAATTGCTTCCATCATTCGAAGATTCTGCTTTCAAAGTTTTTAAAAAAGAATTTTTGCTTAGAGCATCCTTGTTGCCTATCAAAGCCAATTCTGAGAGAATAGCGGACTAAAAAATCTGTGCGTCAATTACTTCAAGGCGCTCACATTGAAAGAATGGCACATTGGCAACCAAAGGCAGAACGAATACGTGCTGGCATCCACAGAGTAAAAAAATGAACGACAGAATCTGCACGATCGCCGGTTGTACCATCTGTCCGTTTGGAAAACCAGGCGACTACAAAGAATTAGGAGTTGTTCATTTCATAACCGTCAAAAATGTGTTGTTTAATTACATTTCGCTGATTGGATTTACAGTACATAAAAGAGACCAGCAGACCCTTGTGCACAAGGATCAAAAGGCATCTTGATGGCCTAAAAACATCCAAAATGTCCACACCTTTGGGTGCACAACGAAGGGTCATGTCATGAGAACCATTACTTCCAACTTACTGTTACGATCTTGTCACACGAATCTGTGTTAGTAGCCCGCAAAACGTTGGAGGCCTTCTGGATAGCGGCTAAAACGCCAAAAATGAAGCGCAAAAATGAACGCATTGTCATAAACAGCGGATTGTTTTCACACTATGTGTGTTCTGATATGAGATTTTCAAGCATAACTTATGATAACGGACTAAGGATTATTTACGTGTGTATATATGTGTATGTGTGTGTACGTGTATGTGTATGTGTATGTGTACGTGTAGCATGTGCATGTGTGTATGTGTATGTGTTAAAAATGTGCAAACGACTTGTTTATTTTTGTAAATAATTTTAAAAAATTTTAAAATTCTTCAAAAATTCAAATTAGCCTTGTAAAAAAACTTTTTTCGGGGGCGTGGCTAACGCCACTCACCTTCATTTAAAAAAAAGTTTGCCGCCCCCCGGTCCGAATGTGACCGCCACTGGTGTATGTGTATGTATAGTGTGTATGTATATGCGTATCTGTGCATGTGTGTGTGTGTGTGTGTGTGTGTGTGTGTGTGTGTGTGTGTGTGTGTGTGTGTGTGTGTGTGTGTGTGTGTGTGTGTGTGTGTGTGTGAGCGAATTCGTTGCGTGGATCCCACAAAGATTGCGTCAAACGGATCCGAATCGCTTCAAGCTCGCAGAATAGGTCCGTATCTAAATTTTTTGCAAAGCCATACTTTTATATAACATATAAATGTGCAAACCATCGATTTTAACCCAAAAGGTAATCAAAGACAATTTGCAGGTGTATGGCTCCAAAAAGGGTTGATGAAGTAGACTGCAGAATTTTCAAGCTTTTACTCAAACAATCGAAGAGATTTTTGCTCAGAGATGTAGCTCAGGTCACTGTCCGTTGCAGTACCTGCTAAGCCATAATAAATTCATTAATTGACTCAAATTTGCGTCTATCTTTCTGTAGTTCACGAGTACAGGATGGTACAAGAGATAGTAAAGCCAATGCAAGCCTCTGCGTAGCACGCGCAGTAACCATATAAAGGACATTGTTGACACTGACTGTCATACTCACACATAACGCAGCTGCAGTAGTACTGCTTGTTAGGTATCTATGTCCCCATCTGGCAAAGCTGAGGTCAGGCTTTTAACATGTTTGCCGTTGTCCATCGCATAGCTAGAGTAGATATGTTGCCAAGCAGGGCGTGTGAGCGGGCAGATCTCAAAGTTTCGATCTTTCGAGAAGCCTTGAAGAGGACGAAGCGTCGAAACATTGGCTTATTGCGTATCAAAGCTTTTCTACCAATATACCGACAGTTCAAAAACTTCATCACAATTCCAATCATAATGTTAAGGTTTATCGACAATGGAACACGAAATCTTATGAGGAAGTAATTATTATAGGACATGTCCCCCTGTCCAACTATCTTTATGTTTTTGAAGCAAGAAACAGCGCCGATGCATGTGCAAGTTGCTAAAGGACGGCATATGCGCAGGACAAACAGTTTTGAAGACATCTTTCAAATCTCACGTTTTAGAGTCCCATCTCTCTGCATTCTCATGAGAAGGTTTGACATATTGAAAAGTAAAGAATATTGCTCAATTTCTTGCTCTCGCAGTGCATTAGCACCTACTCAAATCGAGTTCACTTGGACAGAGACTTTGCAAAGAATACTGAGACTAGATATGTAAATCACGCTAGGATGGAAGGGTCAAGTTTTCTACTTCATACGGACGATTTTGTGCTTTTAAAAATTTTACGAAATGCCATTTTAATGTTTCACAAAAACATTGATGTTTTGTCAGCTTTATAGCTGGGTCGTTTATTTTTCGGATTGATGTTTTGAAGCTTTTCTGTATTTTAGCTATGCTTCGGGACGCAATTTCGCCAATACATCAATGCAATTACCCATTTCCTATATGAAAAATCGAAATTTACTGCGATTTTATCGCTGCACTCACGTAAATAACCGTTGAGACGCATTCTCTAGCGTGCATTCTTTTCACTTCTTCGAAGGTTTGTTTTGTTTCAATCTAATTTGCAAAAAATATACAAGTCTATCCTAGTCTTCCTAGCTGAAAAAGTTTGTTGCCAGTGATGCTTCTCCCAGATTAGATTGTTCGTTAGAGCAAAGCAAGCTCCACAAGTGGGGAGGGATAGACCGCCCGCGCGAAGGATGAATCATGCTGAGTCTGAATTCAAATTTAAAAAAATTTAAAGTTCCAACAATTGAGTCTTGTCTAAAAATTCCCCCGCCTCCATTTTGTCGACGTGTGTAATCTCCTAGTCAGATACATTTTCAAGAACAGTCGCTCTATCTTTCCTGTATCTAATACGAAAAGATAAGGTGAAAAAATATGAAAAGTTTCCCTTTTTAGCTATTAGAGAAATACAATCTATCAACATTGAACTTTCATGTGGATATAGGTATAGGAGAGTCTAAGGGTGGTGAAATTCATTTTTCAATGGTTTCAATATTATACTTTACAGCTTATATATATACATATATATAAGTTAAAGTGAGTATGTCTGTGTGAATCTTTGTTCGGAATACAAATTTTTCTAAGTGGACCTAGGAGGCTGAAAATCTCTCCCTTATAAACAAGCCACGGCGCAGGTCATAGGCTACTTTTCGCGGCGAGCCACCGGGTCCTTTTATCGATTTATCGATTTGTTCACTTAGAATCAAGGAGTAAAAACTTATCAAACCATTTTTCTGAATTAAGATGGAGAGAAGCGGTATGTTTCATTCTCAGTTTCTGCAAGCAAAATGGGGTGACAAGAAAAACTTTTGAAGTAGGTTCCCGTATATGCTCGCAAATGATGCATGCCGTCACGCTAAGGTGCATACGGTCCTTCGCTGTGGATTCCATTATATTCTTGATAATGTCACTCTGCCACTTTTGAATGTGAAAAACGATCTACTGCCTATTTTTACGATGATATTATGATTAGCGCACAAAGTTAATGCCTGTTTGGACGTCTAATCGTAACAAATCGAATATGTGATGAAAATGCAAACCGATCCGTAAGTACGGGAAGTTTTAGCACAGCGCTCGAACTGTGCGCTTGCTGGAAGTGTTCCGCAATATACGATCAGTGTGAGCCCAGCCTAGACAGAATTGCGGACAAATACTTGAAACCAAAGCAGTCGAAAATACGTATGGAAATAAAACTAAACTTACTTTTGGCATCGTTTGCATGATTATTAACAGAAAAGAGTTGTCACTTCCATAAAATGGTGAGAAGGCATTGCAGAATTATTAAACCACCGAATAGCGAGAAGCGCAATTCAAAATGACCCTCAGGGTTGAGCCAGACTTCGCGGGGAAGCGGCGTACGCGGCGTACGCGGCGTACGCAGCGTACGCTCGATATATTTCATCATAGGAGCATATGCGACGTACGTTGCGTACGTCGAGTACGCCGCGCAGTCTGGCCCAACCCTCAACCTTGCGGAAATGATATGCTAACAGGTAGCTTTCAATTCGCAATGTTCACATGTGCATTGGTATATGGATGTGTGCACAGGAAAAGGTTGTACAGGGATAGGGATAGAACCTTTATCGTAGTGTTTTGACAGGGCCGGGCGAAGCCGGGAAAGCCAGATAGTACAACATAAAACTATCTTGCAAATGTTTCAAGGATATCTTGCTTTGCCTTATCGAATGACATGTTTCTACCTGAGTCCAATCTCCAGGATTAGCATGAGGAACATGCAGTAACAGAGTGCAGCATCTTGCAATCGTGATCCGCAAGTTTGGTATGTGAGTTAGTGCAAAGTTGTTGAAACACTAATTTGTTAGTATTGATTCAACGAGTTAATTTGACAATGACTAGTTACCTGATATACGTAGAGTTATTGTCGATTTGTGCAAACCATTGCTTATTATATGACAGACTAGCTGGCTTACTCGGCTCCGCCGTATGTTCCAAATAGAAAATTCCATTTCTTAACCGATCCGGACCAAACTTGACACACATACACTTCGGGCCCCGGCGGGTGTCACAGTCCACTTTTCGCTATCGATTTTATCGATTTTTTGCAAAATTTGAGCTAGGGGGCTGGAATTTGGCAGGGGGGTGTAACCGAGCATGCTGATCACCCCCACGGGGGTGATCAGCATGCTCGATTACCCCCCTGTGCCAACTCCCAGCCCCGTAGCTAAAATTTTGCAAAAAATCGATAAAATCGATATCGATCGATGACGAAAAGTAGCCTATGACACCCGCCGGGGCCCAAAGTGTATGTGTGCCAAGTTTGGTCCCGATCGGTTCAGAAATGGAATTTTCTATTCGGAACATACGTACAGACAGACATACAGACAGACAGACATACAGACAGACAAACAGACATTCAGCTTTATATATAAGATAAAAGGCATAAATGCAGAATGCGAGTGCTGATCTTCTTCTACCTTCTCCCATCATGTTGCGGAAGCCTCCTAGACGTTGTAGACTTAACAGGCGCTTCGAACTTTCCCGGTTTCGGGTATCTCCAGGCAGCTGGAGTAGCAGGAAAAATGTTTTGTAATCGTAAACCGTTTACTAATTGGCAAGTGTCGATATACGAGAAGGAATGGAGTGAGTTGCAATTGCGAAATTGATTCAACTCAATTCAAGTCCTAAATTCAGTAAAAGATAAATTGTTGTATGGACCCAGAGAACCGGACTGGATGTTTAATCCAAAAGGCCATGGTACAATCCTATCACATAGTTACAAAATCAAAGGCATATGTAGAGAGTGGAGCTCAATAGAACCATACCTCTATGTCGAGCATTGGTGCAACCGAAAAAAGGTACAGCTTCATTGTTTTTCCTGAAAATAGTTAGTATATAAGAAGTCGAGTAAAACTTACAAGATTAGTAGAATCAGTTTAGAGCCAGACTCCCAATCACTTTTGCCTGGACATCCCATTACAGTATGTAACCTATGGATTAAAGCAAGTGAAGGAGTTAACTCCGGAGAAATACTGGCATGTCGACCTGGAGCTCTCCGAAAAGCAGAAGGGACAAAGAGATTGCTAAGTCGCATGAGATGAATAAAGACCTTCCTATTCAACGCATGTATGAGACATGTGTTTATGTCAGTCATATCCTCATAAACAATCTAAACTTCTCTATTTTTGCTGCCATTCCTTCAGGCCTCAAACAGAGTTCACGCGATTCAATCGCTGCAATACAAGTGTTACGAGTTTATCGCATGAATCTTCTTTTATTTCGGTTATGATAGTTATTCGCGATTAGTCGTGTGAGAAAACTGTCACAACCGAAATGCGTATTGTTACAGTTGTCTTATCCCGATCAATCGCGAGATCAAATCGCGTAAACTCTGCCCGCGGCCTTAAGCTATATAAGCTCAGTATCAAAGTCCTCCATGATCTTACTTTTTTGCAAAATTTTTTAATTCACCTCAAGAATAAAGTGGATTTAAGAAGAAAGCAAAAATGAACTGTCGTGAGGGAAATTGAAGCACGAGTGCAGCGATATTGCACAACCTTGAAGGTGGTGTCAGGGCCCAGCACGAGGTGGGCAGACGGGGTTTTCCAAAACGAATTCCCCTTTGACCCCAACAGTTTTTATGAATACCCCCTTGAGCACAAAAATGATGCTTTGTGCTTGTGGAACGAGAGCACCGGCCACACTTCGCCTAAAAGCGTTCAAAAGCGCCCAAAATGCTCAAATTCCACCAATTACTCCTCAGTATCAAGATAGAAAACAGGATGAAGAATAAGCGAAAGAAATGATGAAGGAATGATAAAATATCAAAGGAACGCAATCATAGGACTGAGAGACGTCGTTCCCGCGCGGATCGATTGACTGGGGCACGCTTTCCATCTTAGAAAGCTAGGCTGCTGATGCGATTTTGGGCTCTAACAAAGACAAGAGGAGGAGTTTCGGAACCAAAATCTCACCATAAAGTAAACTTTAGGTGAACAACAAATTTATGTAAAAATTTTGAAAAATTATGTGAATTGAAAGTTTTGCCCACCTTAGGTGGGCATTAGGTGGGCAATTGCCCACCTAATTTGGAAAAAAGTTGAGCACGCTCTTCATTCACATAAGTATTTCATAATTTTTCACAATTTGTTCCTTAATCCTACTGCGCGTATACACACCAAGTCTCGCGCGATTTCGTTTTCTCTGCGCTGCAAACGAGCCATTTGAATTCACATCTTCATTTACCAGTTTTGCGAAATTTTTGGAAAAAGTGCTTATTACACCTCCCATTCACATAAGTTTTTTATGACATTTCATGCTTTGTTTCTACTAGCCTCTCTTTGTTTGCTTACGTAATTTGGTGCTATATCATCACGACTGCATTAAGAACTGATCATGTAATCATGCTGTTCAACGGCATCGCTCATGCGACGTCGCGCACGCGGCAATTAGCGGCAGCGCGGCGTAGTACGCGCGAAGTCTACTGTGCGTTGAGGTTTATGAAAAATATTTCCCGATGAATTAGATGTATAAGGTAAGCATGATTCGACCCTCTTCTGCTTGCACTTGGAATCTTCTTCCGGGGCTCCGCCCCCGAATCCCGCAAAAACGATATCCCCTTTGCTTTTTGGCCCAAAACGATTTCCAGCTTGTCATTTGCCCACCTCGTGCCGGGCCCTGGGTGGTGTTCGGGCAAAAGTCGATTTTGAGAATTTGAGGTAACTCGGGCGTATCTGCTATGCTGAATCGTCCACAATGGAGAGTGCGAAAAGGCGAAAAATTGTTCTAACGCAGGAGGAAAACAAGTGTGCGGGTTCTTCCCTACTATAAACCCACGCTTCCACCTTCCATAGCAAACTTCTTGATTCCGCTAGCCGCCCCTGTCATCGCCGCCGGCCTAGTGCGAAGCTTGACCTAAAACCGGAACCGAGAAGATTGCTTCGGAAGCTGGAAGCGTGAATTCACAGTGGGGAACGCCCACTTGCAGAATTCCCCGCCCACTTGCTGAATTCCCTCCTGCGTTAGAGCCCTTTTTTGCTGTTTTTGCGTACTTTAATGTGAAATTTCAGATTCAGCATAGCTAGGCCCTGCCAAGCACAAAATGTCAAAATTGGCTTCCTGCCCCCGGACGCTGCCTTTAAGCCACTCCATACTTTTCGCCTCAGCTTTGCTCTTTTCGAAAGTTCCCAAAACCATACGTGTAGGTGTTCAATACATTTTCACACATCCTAATCCTCCAGAATCACTGAATTTTCATGCTGCTGATAACAAGTTCGAAATTCGTTGCTTCATATTTACGAGGGATTCGAAGATGTCGAAAGAGCCTTTTTAGGAATTAGAATGAGACCAACTTTGCAACAGTAGAAAGTTTATCTTCGTAGTAGCTCAAAATTGTTAATATAGTCCTACAATGTATGGAAAATGGGCAGAAATATGTATTAAACACTACCAGCAGGGTAGAATAATCGATACTAACACAATAGCTAGATTCAGTTCAAATTCCATTTTCTTGCTTACTTACACACACTTACAAACTTACAGACAAATTTTTTTCGACTTTCACGTTTTGTTTCTGCTCGATAATTTCCGAAACGTTCAGACAAGGAAGCAACTTTCACTTCAAATTCGTTCAAAATGCTCGCTATCGGCAAGGTTGTCACTTCTAAAGTTGCTTTCGGCGTTGGGATTGAGCACCAAGACAGGTTGAAGGAGACGGTTACTAATAAAGGGAAGAGCTAGGGTGGAATGCCCACAATTCTTGACTTGCTTACAAAAGTCCTTGAATATAAGGGAACTCATAGAGGCACTACTGTAACAGCAAGATTGGTAATCTTGGCATTTTTAAAGAGGAGTAGTATATAATGTAGGTTAGGCAAAACACAATGCTGATCGCCCGAGTAGCTTGTCATCTGTTGAATGCTCAAAAAAATATTTGTAGCACACAAGACCGGATTGGCGGCTGTCAGGCGACCGCTCGTCTCGCGACGCAGTCTGTGTCTCTCTCGCGAACGTGCTCTATGACCATTTTCCTTGATTAGTTCACGAAGCCCCACCCCTTTTAGTCGGATCAAAAGGCATTTATTTTTTCCTATTACCATAACAACGGCTTCAATGTCGAGCAAATTTATAGAAATGTTTATCAATGATCTGAATTTGATTCCATTATCATGAGTACATAAATAAGCTGACAGAGGACTTGAAAGCTTCCCGAAAATGATGACAATCTTTCCGTTTGTCACCGATAGCGCTGGGTCAGCAATGAAAATCTCGCTTTTGTAACTAGCTATAAGGTAAATCAAAAATGACAAGCTCGTAGTATGTCGAATTTTTTTTCTCGAGCAATCGACTAATAAATACTGATAAGGCAGAAGACAATGAGAAACCAATCTATCGCATTCATCCAATCAAAGTTTGTAGGCATGTTACTTGGCAAAAAAGGTGTTAATAGAAACTAAAACGCTGTTGTCGGGGATCTTGCTTCATAAGAAGCACTTTTTACATCAAGGAAAGTAATCAGCATACACCCAGATTATTGAACACAGCGTGAGGATTAGATGATTGCTTTTCAAGGCTGGTATAACTCTAATAAAAACGATATGAATGTGGAGAGTTCTAACAATAAGATAGTAATGACATGCAAGTCTTGAAAATCGCAAAGCATCACCGAAGGGAGAAATTTCAGCTTAATTTAAAGGCAGTGTCCAGGCTAAACCTAACCCCCTCCGATTAGTGTGGATCCTGAATGTAGGCCCCAGAAAAGGGGCATCTGCGTTGGTCCGGTCTTCTAACGTTGTCTCTGAATGGAGATAAGGGGCCCGAAACTCCCTGCTGGGCGGAGTCTGATATCAGACTCCGCCCAACAGGGACTGCTCACTACCTTGTCAATACGTGCCTCCGACACGTATTGACAAGGTAGTGAGCAGAAGCTGCACACCGCACACTGTAATGCAACTGCAACCATGCAGTTGCAGCTCCTTCCCGCTGGCCTGCCGACGGGGATGAGCAATTCGAAACTCGTCCGCACCCTCAAGATTGGGTCCCCAAGGATCGGGTTTTTTGTGATTTTTAGAAAGTTTGAAGTTCGGAACTGTAATCAGGACCACGGAAAGGCCCCAGAATGACGAAAACATAGGAGGCCATCTTCTGGGTGGACGCTGCCTTTAAGAGCAAATAGCTGGCCAGAATAGCATCACTAGAGAATCTCACTCACGACTGCCAAACCACTTCCTGATGCTGACTTCGTTTTTTTACAGCTTTCCATCTAGTGATTTTTGCAAAACGATAAGTGACTGATAAGCTATCCAAATAATTCAGAACAATGGTAGAACTATGTAAAAATGGAAAGAAGGCGATGATTTGTTTTCTACAACAAAAATTCAAACCAGCCCGTTCAGCTTTTCTTCGCCATAGACCTTTTCGTTAATTAGAAAGTGTAGAGTAAAAGAAGCCTAAAGGTAGTGTCCGGGCAAAAACTCGATTTTGAGATTTTGTGCTTACTCAGGCCTATTCGCTATGCTGAATCCGAAAATGCACATTGGAGAGCGCGAAAAGGGTGAAAAATGGCTCTAACACAGTAGGGAAATTAGCAGGTGGACGGAGTCCTCCCCACTGTGAATTCACGCTCACAGCTTCCTGCGATCTTCTTGCTTTCAGTTTCAAGTCAATAATTCGCACTTGGCCGGTAGCGATGTTAAGACGGCTAGCGGAATCGAGAAAGCCGCTCCGGAAGCTGGGAGCGTGAATTTACAGTGGGGAGGACCCCCCTAGTTGCTGTTTCCCTCCTGTGCTAGAGCCCTTTTTTGCCGTTTTCGCGCTTTCCAGGGTGGATCGGGTTCAGCATGCCGAATAGGCCTGTATAAGCACAAAATCTTAAAGTCGAGTTTTTGCCCGGACACTGCCTCTAAGGCTGGGTTTAATACTGATCCGTAGATTCTGGAACAGTTCCAGCAAAGCGCACAATTTGAACGCTGTGCTGGAACTGTTCCGGAACCTACACATCACTATAAACCCAGCCTAAGAAAAACTTAAGCTATTCGTTATTTTTAGCGTCCTCAGCCAACCAAAATCCGGTGGACGATCTGGGAGAAGACCGATTGCGGCGGAGCAAAGCATCCAAATTCATTTTCGCGCATGGTTTCGTATGTTTTCGGTTATCGTATATTAGCATTAGTATGGTCTTTGTCGGAGTTCATCTCCTACACGTCCCTCGACTGGTCGGTCATTTTGACCGCTCTTCCCCACCCTACCGGACGTCGAAGATCCAGGAAGCCCCGGAACAGCAGGATCAAGTATGTTCCACCCCAACAACGACTGTTTACACATCGGAACATTCAACGTGAGACGCCTGCCAGACGAAGTCCAACTACATGAACTGCAAGAAGCCCTGAAGAGAACACGACTCGATATACTGGCCCTGACGAGATGGAGAGACGAATTTCAGAAGAAGCTTGCAATTGGCACTTGCAATTGGCAAAGAGTAAGATCACTCACGTTAAAAGAATGGATCAGTTTGTTTTGGGTGCCGCATATTGTAATAATATGAAAGGCAAATAAATCATCAAATGGTCTTTGTCAATTTTGACTATTCTGTCGTTCTTGAGCATTGTTTTGCACTGTTGTGCTCGTTAGTTCAAGCCTGAACACAGCAAGTTTGGGGAAACAAAATTAATCGGAAGTTTCTGTCGTAAGCCCGATTTCCTCCTGTCGCTCAACCGGAGCGGCTGCGTTCTATCCTCTCTTTCTCAATTTTCTAAAAACGTTTCATTTCCAACATTTTCCATTAATTTTTTTCGATCATACATTGATCTTCTATACTTCTCATTTTCCTTCCGAATTCTTCTTTTTTAGGTTGAGCTTTCTGGGAAGTTCCCGGCTCTCGGCAAATTGTTCATTGATCTCTAGGCAAATCATTTCACGACAAAGTAGGTCATATACACTGAACTCATCCTCTCGCGTGACTTGAAGTAAGATTTCTGGTAATTTTTTTAGATTCTCGGCAGACCAGAGCGAGGATTTTAGTGAGTACTCTGTTGGCAAGATTCGACTGATCCTGAAACTGAACACCGATGCAGTGATTGAAAAGATTTGGCTGTTGAAGTTTGAAGTCGAAAATCCCCTGGTCGAAACCAAAAAGAGAAATCGCAGCATAGTCTTGGCAACTATCCAATTTTTTTTATTCTCCCGGTGTTTTGTATGTAGATTTCGCTGAGCAGCAAAATCCAGGATTCCGAAATCATCTCTAGCTTTCGATATTTTCTTTTTCACAGTAATCGGGCAGGGTAGAGGAGGTGGTTATGCTGCTTCGTCATGACGTCACTTCCTCAGGCGATTTCAACCCGATTTCTTGACGTCAACCCTATGCTCCAAACTGCCTGGCTTTCTCTCCTCCGCGACTGTTGTTTAGTCCAAAAAGTTTCCTATCAGATCAGGTCAGCTATTTAATTGATATCATCAACACATAAAACGTCAAGGCATATCCTCCTTATGGGTCACTTAACCACCACAAGGTATTGAGTTTCAAAGTCACTCTCGACTACCCTATCAGACAGTTTGTCCCTTACCCTAGTTTTGAAAACGCTGCCGTTCCGGAAATAAATGCCGCTTCGCGAGATATCGACTGATCATAATTCTTTCGAAAGCCTGCGTGTGTTGATGATCTTTACTACCGAATATACCATACCAGATCCTCCCGAGAGTTGTGCCTTTTCTATTTGAACCGTTGCAGCTTGTCAAATACACTTCTCATAAACGAAACTCGAACAAAAGCTACATTTTTCGCATTTGCAAAATCCTTTACTATTCGATTAAAATTTGCAGAGATATTAATCACCACGTCAAAAAATTTTTAGTCAATCGCGAACTGTTTTCCAAAAACAAACTAAAGCTCTATTTAGCGAAAGTTTCCTTTTTTGACTGATGTTTGCAGATCTCTCATGTCGTCAAAGCGGACGATTCAAGAAATTTCTTTGCCGGTTCCATGGGAAAAGCCCATAATTTCACAGATAAAGTATTGAACCTTTGTGTTTTTATTTGTCATACTAAAACAAGTTGTGCTGAAACTTGTATAGAACGTTCCAAGGTTTATGAAGATTTGCTTGAGCTTAAGGCACTACTACAGTTGATTATGATGGGCTTCAATCCTATACCGTCTTATTTCGGGAGTGCAGTCAAGCTCTAGCATTTCCCCCTACATTTCCCTTCAACACCCAATGCTTCTTGGCTTTTGGAGAAGTACCTAAAATTTGGAAAGAGGATCTGGTAACAGCAATTCCTAAGTGCATAAATGACCACTCGGTTTTGAACCGCGACCTATTAGTTTGGTATTTGCAAAAATTCTTGATCGTTTACTCCAAAAGCACTTACAAATGTTCATATAAACACAGCATTTTTCCAATAATACAGAATATCTTTGTTCCAGGAGCCTCATGACCTCCTTACTCTCTGATTCATTTTCGTGGTCCAGACTATCAAAATCAGAGTCTTGGATGAGGCCTTCAATGTGTTCAATTCAATGGGAAAATATTAGCATATTGCCATGACATTCCTAAAATTCTTGTATTGATATTCCAACGATATTTCCAAGGAACTGCGCTTTTTGGTGCAGATCCTGTGCTGAGGATACTGTGCTACAACCATGAGAAGCAGAAGTCGAGCCACCAAGCGCAAACTAAAGCGGTGTTTCTTATCTTTTTGAGGCCAAAATTAGCCTACAGGGACCACAGCATCCGACCAGCTTCGGCAGCAGCTTATTTTGAAAATTCATTGCAGTGTAGCACTTGGCAGTTTCCTCTAATAATAAGATAGGGACAAGCAGACTCAACAAGTGCAGTCCTCCTCTAAAATGTCCCCGCTTCTACCTTTCATTACGTTTTTATAGAAGCGCATAAGAGTAAAGTGGTATGGTCTCACTCTATCATTTGTGCAAGCATAAAATTCTCAACATATTGCTATATAGCACATGTCTTTGATATAAATCTTAATTGCAAGATGAGCACGGGCATGAAGCTTGGATAACAGACTGGCTTGCAGTTGAATAGTAATCACAACGTAACAACAAACACTGCTTAATGAGACACAATATCTCGAAATTTCCCGTAGTAAAGCTGATCATGAGAAAAATTACAATAAAAATACAACTCAAAATACACAACCTGAGCTCAATCCGTATACAAATGACCAAGATACTAACTAGAAATTACTATTCAAAGGAAAATCCCGGAGAACCCGACCTCGCTTCTCTTCCTTCGCATCGAGAAAACCCATCCATTTCGTACTTGCGACATGAAACCACGATTCAAGAGTCCGTAAAGCACCGGATTTGACATTGTGCTAATCATGGCTGCACTGAAATAACAAAGGCATCATACATTGAAATCTCTTGAAAGAAAATAATTTTTTATTTCCTCTCCTGCCCTTTTTGTAAGCAGCCAACTTTCTTAAGCATTCGTATCTTCCACAAATTCTTGCACAAATGTTTCAATTTGATTTTTTTTACCGAAAAATAAATGTATAAACGTAGGGACTATATACTAAGCGGTTTAGTAAAAATAAAGATGGTGATAACTTTTTCGAAAAAATAAAGATAGGGAAAATGTTTTCTTTGTCAACTTCGTTCTTCCTCTTCGATATATATTTGAAATGCCTCCCCCCCCCCCCCCCCGAAATCTTTCCAAAAAAATTATTGGTGCATTTTCATTGTTTTTGCATCGCCATGGCGAGTTGCAAGTTATCTAAAAAAGGCTGAAAAGGTCATTTCCAAATAACTTGCAGCTCACTGGGCATTGACGCCTGAAAGGCTAAAAATTTCCAATTTTAGCTATGTTAAAAATGCTTACCTATGTGAAATCAAGCTTGCCAAATAGGAGTAATCAGTGTCATTTTGTATGAATACGCCGCCATCACTAAACTCCAGGGCCATGGATGCCACGTTATGTGGAAACCACGAGATGAAGAAGAAGAGCATTACAAGCACAAGTACTACAGTATTCTTCCTCGTTCGTTGTAGGAGTATACATTTTCGTTGACACTAAAAAATAAGAAATTATGAAATGAGCAGTTACAATGCACGTTGATTAACTGATTATTTATTATTATGTTATAAAGAAAGTTCTGCCAAATCTTCTCATAATTACCAAAAATGAATGCAAGTGCGAAGGACTGGTTTGGGGTGTTTTTTTAGTGTGCGATGGCCACAGCTACCAAAAATGCTATTTAGAATCGAAAAATTATGATGAACTAGGAGGAAATTCCAAAAAAAGTGTAAAATCCGTTGGTTTCAGACGAAAATGCACATTTTTTAGATTATAGACGCGCAGAACTTGCTGAAGCTTTATCTAAATTAATTCTTCATTTAATTTATCTTTTTTTCTTCGTTATGGGTAAATGAAGCGACATCCGACTATTACTTGCTCTTGTATCTCGGCTTTTTTCCGAGCAATAGCTAATCAACTTCAGGGTCCAAAAAAACCCGAACTTTCCATCAGCTTCGAAACGCAGCCATTGCCCTTCTCGGAAAAGAGCATACATGATATACCTAATCAGTAGCTTAAGGTTATAGTGCATATGACCAAAATATCGTCAATTCACTCATGATGAAGATGAGAATAAAAAATTTAGCTCAACCTCTATGAGCAGAACTTGCTTTACAACCTAACATAATGACAAATAGAAAGCACTGAATTTATACAAGTAATCCTACGCACCTGTTCAAGTACATGGATATTTGATGTGTTCATTTTTCTATTCATCGCACTTAGCACAGGCATTGATGCTGCCAATACAAGTGATCTTTCATTCATCTTCCTAAATAAACATTTTATCCATGCCGACATAGCGTACACTAAGAATGACTTGCCTAAGCTTTTCTCGAGTTCTTTTTCTGAGGTCACGGAATATTCTTGTATAGCAGTAGAACATAATTACGAAGGGTACGACGAATTGAGCAACAAGAACAAAGACCGTGTAGGCTCTGAAATAGTTGGATACCCTGAGATTTAATTTTCATTTTTTGAAATTTCTGAAAGCAGCATAGAATACAGTGATTTTGGCTACTGGCTAAAATAATGTTTTCTTTTCTCAAGAGAACAGTAATAGATAACGCGAGCCAGGCCTCACAAACATTTTTGGAATGGGCAAGTTTTCTAGCGAACTTTTATCAAGAAAAAGCAAAAACTGCGCTTTTCAGAAAAAAAAATCCTTCTAGAATCGATTTCATTTTAAATAAACTTTGAAATATTGTAAATATTCATATAGAGTAGAACATATAGAGTAAAGATTTTCATGACTCTTTCAAGCACTGCTCTCAATTCTAATCTTCTTCTTCTTACCAGGGCCCGGCACAGGTGGCTTGCAAGCAAGTATATCGTTTTGTGGCCGAAAAGACACAAAAATTGTGAAGTTTTCAGTTGGCGTTTGATTTTTTGAGGGTTTTTCGTACGATTAGGGTTTAGGGTCAAATGTGACTTCGTAAAAATTTGCAAAAGTCAAAAGGAATTTCGATTTTTGCATTCTTCAAAAGCCACCTCGACCGAGTCCTGCTTCTTACTCGCCGTAGAAAAATCTGCTTTGCGCAGATATTTTTCAAGAGGCTGGAATCATTCAGTTTTTTTTTTTGAGGTATGGTGCTGGGTGTACATTTTTTGAATAAATATTAATGAATGAAAGTGTGCAACAAAAACAGTACTCCTATAAGCACGAAACATAAACATTTAAGTCGCTGAAAACCCTTCGGATTTTTTAAACTACGCCTTCCCTTGAAATTTAAGCTATTATCTTGTTCTTTCTGCTCCTGCTCCAAGGTATTTGACATAAAAGCAAAATGCGATGCTTACCGTCGAATTCGCTCATTAGGCCACGCTTCAGTGCAGAATTTTCCACATAAACCCTCATATTCGACAAGTGCCATGTACCATGAATATGGGAATGTGATGAGAACGGCGATAAGCCAAAGGCAAATCATCACAAATCGAGCTTGCTGGAAAGATGAAGAGTTACATAGGTAACTTGTGATAATGTAAATCTAGAAAATGACATTTTGCAAATTCCCAAGTATTTTGGGCCTGAATGATCTCAAAAATTATTTTCATAAATGAATATCTTTTTTCATCAAAAGGAGAAAAGGTGACTGGATCATGAACAGATTCAAAAACGACTTTCATATTTTTTAGCAGAATTCAGTTCTAGCTTTTAGGTACTTCCGCTGTTGTCGATCAGCTCATGATAATCTCTCACATCATAGCTCTATAAATGATTGAAGATAATTCTACGTGCTCGTGAAAGTCTATTTTTTCAAGACAGCTGCATGACTCAGCTTCAAATTTTTAGCCAATATTTGCGAATCATAGTTATTTAATTCTAACTTCAAAACCCCCAGCAAACAACACCGTGAGCTGTTTTGCAAAGTTATACCATCGTCGAAAATTGAAAATTGAGGAAAAACGGGGTTGATTTTTAGAACTGCTGACTTTTTTGCATTTTTTTTATTCGAAAAAAGAAAATAAACGCTATGACGCTTGATGGCGACTTTTAAGGACAATATGATTGACGGAAACATTAACCCAAAAATAGTAGGCAAAAGCAAAAGGGCATTTTTTGCAGTGAAAGCCATCGTTCAGAAAAAAAAGAAACGTAAAAATGTATACATTTGAGATGATTTATATATACTGCGAAAGTAATCAACCGAACGTAGACTCTCACAAAATTTATAAGCATACTTTGCCCTTTTGAAACCATAAATTATTGCTAGATTTTCAGAACATCATGTCACGTGCTTGAATAGTCTGAACATATGCAAGTGGAAAATGTTTAGTTATTTCATCCATCAGAAAAATTGAGCTGGCAAGCGAGGCCCGGAAGTGCAATTTTCATTCAACTATAATGCAGACCATTTTGCATGAATAAAAAATGCGAAAAGGATTTTTCGGGGAAAAAACATTCAATGGTGAAAAAATCAAATCTTTTTGCTCACCGATGGGTTTATCCTTTTCCTATGTGGTGCGACGACCATCATATATCGGTCGATGGCAATCAGAGTCAAGCTAAAGGCAGCAACGAATACGCTAGCTCCCTGAAATTTTCTGATTATGGAAATTCATGACATATACTAGTGAAACAGTGACTTAAAGGTAAGATCTGGGATTCGCTTCGGGACCCGCCGCGGTTTCCCGCTATTGGAAGATTTTTGAATTGAGCTAACGATTCTTTATAAATTAGATTTGCAGTATATTAGTTATAGCTTCGAAATTCGGAAGAAATTCACACAAATTTACGACTGTAAGCGTAAACGATTTTTTTAGAAAAAAAAACAAACAAAAAAAACAGAGCATAAATTGTTACAAAAAATATACTCATGACTACGGCAAAAACTGCTTTAGCAAATAATTACTATTGTAATAGAACTTTCCGATGACTCGAGTCAATTTTTTTTCTCCTAATTAAGACGAATTTTTCAAAGAATAACCCGAAATAATAGAACAAACCTGAATCCACGGCAGCGAATGGCACATTTGTTCGCCAAAGTACCAATTTTTGTTGATACTAGTGATAGGAGTGATTGGCAATGAGAATAAACAGACTATCAGATCGGCAAGTGCTAAGTTCAGGATGAACATATTCTAAAAAAACATATTTTGAACAAGGTAAAAAGTGAATCAACTCCAACATTATCATAAATTTTCCATCAAACAAGTATGACTTCCAAAACATTGGAATGATTTGAACTCGGAAAATAGTCAAAGAATATTTAAGCTAATGATGATATTTGAGCTGAAGGTTATTGGATCTATTAAGGTTACGGCAGGGTTACTGTAATTATTCTGGAGGACAAACAAAAAATGGTCAGACATCAAAATTTTTTGCTATACTCTCTGCTTCATCATACTATCTTGTAAGACAATTCAACGTTTTGAGCACTTAATTAATTTTGTTTTGTAAAATTTGAGTACATACCTGAACGGTTTGTAGTTTACTATTTCTAGTTGTGAACACAATAACACCTATGTTTCCGATGACGCCAAGCATGAATTCGATGCTGAAATCAGAAATATGATTTTTGCAATAGATGAGCATTATACTGCGATTTTTGTTGGAAAGGACTGGGAACAATAATGTTAGCTATTTAAGCAATGTAACATGCATTTTTTGGATAACATTAAAAATAAAGCGAAATAAATGTTAGTTACGATATTTACCTGTACAATATAGAGAACCCAATTACAATTGGTGGTTCCAACGATGGGTCTTTGACTTGATCAGTGAAGTAGACGCATGTCAGTTCCGTCATAGTGCCAGGGAATCTGGCACTAGAGTCAAAAACAATGAGCGCGACGGCGGTTTTCCTGAAATTCATTGGAGCATACGTAAGTACATTCATAATCCAGTAAAGCTCTCAGACGTGTGCAAAGTCATAAATGTCAAGTACGGACCACCAAAATGTTGCACTAAAAATCTATGAATAAAAGAGGGCAATATAGCAGTGGCAAGTTCACAAATGTAAGTGATCGAGGAAATGGACGCCAGGGTGGGCTTCGAAGCGGCTTAGACAGTCTAGAATTCTAGCGCTGGAAGAGATTAGATGTGTAGGAGTGACGTAAAGGTTTGCTAATAATATTATAGTGGAAATGTGCTAATGTTAGCAATATCTTGCTCATCACCATCACTTTTTCAGCTCATGCTCTTAAAAAGCAATTTGCACATGACTGCGCTAAATCAATGTGTATTTGGTAAGAACACATTAAATCTACGAGAGTGTTACATCAAACAAACAAGTTTTTCCTGAAACGAAAAAATTGGTATGCACATTCGTCATTTAGTGTTTTCGTTGCAGCTACTCAACAAAAGAATGTTTTCAGACTTTTTTCTGAAAAGATTTGCAAAAGCAAACTTGGTTAAGATGACAATAAGCCTATTCAAATATTCTTTAAATTGTCAGCAACATTATGCTCTGCGCACAATTTTAAAAGAAAAGAATGAATAGTTAAAGCATGAAATAATGAGGCGATAACTATTTGCAAAGTATTAGGTTGTCCGGAAATTAATGCCCGTTTTGAATTTCAACAGCAATAAGTCATACACTTCTCACTTCTGAATGGGCTGCAAAGTACCATTTGATAGAGCAAAGCAAGCTCTACAAAAAGGCCATCTTGCTTGTGCAACAGCTCTCATCCGCCTCGAGTTTTGAGCCAAAAACTAAAAAGACTCAGCAGTCCGAAAAATCAAAAAAATCGTAACTCAGTTTAAAAAATCCTACAAAAATTCTTACTTGCTCACGTAAACACAATCTACATAAAACATCTACAAACGCCTTTGCCATATTTTTTCCTCTGCTAGAAATCAAGAAAACAGATATTTTCGTGCATTTGCCAAAGTGATACCGTGCCGTCCCCACATAGGTAGTTGTGTACCACAAGCCTGTAGAAGTACAGACTTAAATTTTCAGCTCTCTACAAGCTTTAGTTCTCGAAAAAATACCAAATAAAGCTTTTCCTAGCTAGGTGGCCCAAGCTAAAATTCAAATTTCTCGAGAACTAAAGCTTGTAGAGAGCTGAAAATTTAAGTCTGTACTTCTACAGGCTTGTGGTACACAACTACCTATGTGGGGACGGCACAGCATCACTTTGGCAAATGCACGAAAATTTCCCATTTCTTGATTTCTAACAGAGGAAAAAATACGGCAAAGGCATATATAGGTGTTTTATGTGGATTGTGTTTACGTGAGCAAGTAAGAATTTTTGTGGGATTTTTTTAAACTGAGTTACAATTTTTTTGATTTTTCGGGCTGCTGAGTCTTTTTAGTTTCTGGCTCAAAACTCGAGGCGGATGGGAGCTGTTGCAAAAGCAAGATGGCCTTCTTGTAGAGCTTGCTTTGCTCTATCGAATGGTACTTTGCAATCCATTCAGAAGTAAGAAGTGTATGACTTATTGCTGTTGAAATTTTAAACGGGCATTGATTTCCGGACAACCTAATAGAAGTTTCTAATTAGATTCCCAGTAATTGTGAGAGCTGAGAATATAAACAGATAACAGCAAATATGGGTTTTTTTTCAAAAGTTTTCACAAAAGGACCACTTCTATTTGGCAGGGAGGAGAAAAAAACAATGAATATGAAAAAGCTAAGTGATTATCAAAATTTAGCGGTATTCAAAGATTGTCAAGCAAAGAAGGTGCAGTGTTTATAGTTCTGTGTCTGTTCGCAAGAGTTTCAAGAAAAGTGGCTCTTCGGCTTCATTTGGAAGCCATAAAGGTCGAGAATAATTATAGATGAGGCTAAAACAACGAACGTCTTATACAAGGTAGTTTTGTCTTAAATTAGTAGCAATTCACTACTTGCTCAAAATGTCGTCTATATAAGCGGCAAATATGTTTTTAAATTATTTAAAAATTAACTGAGAGTTTTTTATATGAAGCTATCCACATATTTACCACATTCAGCACATTTTCAGCTCTATTATCTTGACTCTCACGCAGAAAATTCAGCTGTGTGAAAATGAAAGCGAATCATCTGTACATTTGTTTATCTTCATATTTATGTATCATACGTCCTTTATTATTTCGAGATATAGTGTTTCGAGATATACTATTTAGAAAATTGCTTTACAATAATGTATTGAATAAGTAAATTTTCTTCTGTTTCCTGAAAATTACTGCTTTCATAAAAAAAGTGCTCAAAGACATATGTACTTGGGTATAGATTTTACTATAATTCATAAAATTGCTCAAAATCGGTAATTTTGATTTCTATAACAAGAATAGAGGGAAACGATAAGTGTCGTTAAGACTTTCCTAGCCATACAAGAAAGGCGATTCTTTTCCTTCCCTCCTTTCATCTCCTCTTCTGCTATGACCCAAGAAATAAATAAGAGAAACTTTCAGTAAGAATCAAATTAAGATGAATTAGTGAAGGAACTAATGCCGAGAAAAGTGCTTTAGCAAAAGAGAAAGTTCTATGATAATAAATAACTAAAACGTTGGCTTTAAAATATCAATTCGGTATTACTTTTAACAAAAATTGTAGAACATATTCTAAAAAACTGTTGAAAAGCACAGCTGTCAAGCGGCTCAGAAAGTGCGAGTGTATGTAATGTGAAACTTTTCCTTATAAGTGACGATTTGCAAATTTGCAGCAATAGGAAAAACATCAAATTAGCATATAGTGCTGGACCTTGAGAATTTGACCGGAAGACGGAATAGAGAAAAAACTGCGAAGGAGGCAAGATTTTAATAAGGTCTAGGCGCCATACAAAGGCAATCATAAATAAGAAAACACTCTCAGAGCCACTCGTTCAGACTTTTTCATTTTTAATATGTCTGGCAATCTTGAAACCTCTGCAGCTATGAATGGTCATGAAAGCCGAGGCCTATCATCAAATGTCCGAGCACGCAGCAGCACCTCCTACGGGTGTTCGTTTAAGAGCGCACAGATCGGGATCGAACAACTTTCGCAACCGGATTAGCTTTGCGATTTTAGATTTCTTACGAACTTTGGCGATTCGAAAACAATTCGTTGCGAATTAGAGCTTAAGCAAGATGTAACACCTTGTGCTGGTCGAATGTACGAAGGCGAAGCCGTGGGAAAAACTAGAGATCGTATTTTGTTTTTGTTACCTAAACTTTCAACATGACAATTAGGAATGCGAAGCATAGCAGAAGAGAAGGTCGCTCATTATGACCACTGGAGCTGGAATCCAAATTCTACGAGTAGCAGACGACCAAAAAAATGGGCAAGTAAACACGCTCAAAATCCAGCTCAAATTGATTGATCATCATGGTAAGCATCCAGAAAAGCAAATATGCGTGCTTTTTTGAAATGGAGAACTAGTTTTAGCTAAGGTAAGTTTTACACACCGTAAATTGGCGTCAGACGACCAGATACTTTATGCAAGCGGATCACCTAATTGCCCCTAACGCGATTATGTTCGCTTATGGTCAGTAGTACTAATCGGTCAGTTAAGAGCCAAGGTTATTAAAGCTTCATAATGCAATTTCATTTCCGACCCAAACGATTTTTTGAAAGGGGTCTTCTACAGCGCTTTGGAAAAAGGTTTGAGAGACCAATCAAACATGCTACGTCTCAGTCCTTTACTGTTTGAGTGGCCAAAGTAAAATTCTACCTTTATAGGGCACTCTCTGTCGTTCTCATTTACTCAATCATTCCAATGACATCTCATCAGATCGTTGCCCCACCGATTCATCTACTCATTCATTCATTCATTCATTCATGCATACATTTATACATACATTCATTCATTCATCCATTCATTCACTCATTCATCCGTCATCCATCCGTTCATTCATTCATTCATTCATTCATTTCAATTTATTTCATTTAAATAACAACATTTCTTTATCGCAATATTAGAGAAACAACAATCAGATTAGCAGTTAGCAATGAAATTTTCGCTTACTGAGATAATCTTTACAATCGTCCTCCCCGGTTGTGCAAGAACAAGGAAGAAACATGAGTCTGCATTGGGCGCTGTCTACTCAAATTTGATTCCAAGAGGAAGTTAATTCGAGACATGATCAAAGACCGGCCCACTCATTCTTCGAAGGTAGAGTTGCATGTTAAAATAAGGCTGATGAATTTTATGGGAGACTTCAAAATAGCTCTAAGAAGCAATCTGTACTACCAATCGATAGACGAATGAATAAATATTCAGAGCGAAATACTACAAAACAACGAAAAAAACATGCAAGTAATTTGATACCGTGACAAAGCCAGCCAAACAACTGCTGTGATTTGGTCGCACGCTTGGCATTGTATGTGCTAAACAAGCTGAGTAGTGTAATCAAATGAGACTAGTCCACATCATCTACTAAAGGGCTCTGTAGCTGTTACTGTGGTCTAGGACCAAAGTGCTTGCAAAGGCCGGGCTCACCTTCCACAATGCGCTTGAAGGTTGGAATAACGAGCAAAATGTGGCCAATTGCAGATGGCGAACAGTCTTAGTGATTATAAAGGAAATGATTTACTAAAGGGTCGGGCATCCACGCGATTTCAGTCGCGATGCCATTTGGCAATATTCCAACTGTCCAATAACTCGTTGTAAGCATATTTAGAGTGTACAGAAGATAGGGCGTTCCATCAATCCACGCAAGTTACACTATGCATGTGCAGTTTGCTAGCGTTGGATCTGATGACCTCTGGCGAATTGCCAAATCGTTTCGCGACTGAAATCGCGTGAAGTATGCCCGGCCCTTAAGCTGCATTAAGAAGAATAGTTGATTGCGGTCTTAAAACACTAGACAGCTCCCAAAGTTCTTCGCCGTTTTATAAAAAATCCT